CATATGATGTAATGATATGATTAATCATGTTAGTTATTATTGTATAATATATTGTATGTGAGATGGCCTAAGTAACGGATTACTAGAGGCCAAGGATATAAGTAAGATGATAACTTGGATAGCAAGAAATGTATGTTTTGGAGGAGTGATTAAGGTTTATAAAGATCAATCTCACTAACTAAACATAAAGGATTTATGTAGAGAAGAGATGTATGTTAAAAAGAATTGTAATGCCTTAAATTGAAGTGTGTAAATGTGAAGAATGAAGTGGGCATAATGGAGTAATCATTGGTTAATAGGAGAAATTAAACTTAATGACGTTTTCTTTTAAGACATAGATCACGAAATGTGTAAGTATGCATATATGTAAATCGTAAGTAAGAAAGTTGAATAAATCAAGTATAACTTGCAATTAACTTGACATACAAGTAACGATTACAACTTAAAGAAGAATGAAAAAAAGTTTACTCACATTTTTACATGAGTTTAATTAGAGATTAACATGTTTAGCTTTCACATATATTTAATATAATTAGCTGCGTTTAATACCATTCTGATGTTAACAAACCGGGCATACATGAGGTGTTACAAACTCCTTTAAGAAGTATCTAGCAGCTCAGTTCGAACTGAAGGACCTTGGAACTCTCAAATATTTTCTTGGTATAGAAGTTGCTAGGAGCAAAGCAAGCATCACTCTTACACAAAAGAAATATGTTCTAGATCTTTGTTGGAAACAGAAATGTTAGGGTGTAAGTTTGCTGAGACACCTGTGGAACCTAATACCAAGTTAGGTATTGAAGATGAGAACGACGTGGATAAAGAGAAATATCAGAGATTGGTTGGCAAACTAATTTATTTATCTCACACGTGACCTGACATTGCCTTTGCGGTGAGTATGATTAGTCAATTCATGCACTCACCCAAGGAGAAACATCTTAGTGCAGTGTATAGGGTGCTTAGATACCTCAAGAATACTCCAGGAAGAGGATTATTCTTTATTAAGGGGTATAAAAGGACAATTGATATCTACACTGATGCAGATTGCGCAGGCTCATAAGTGGACAAGAGATCTACCTTAGGCTATTGCACCTATGTGTGGGGAAATCTTGTTACTTGGAGAAGCAAAAAGCATACAGTGGTTGCAAAAAGTAGTGCTGAAGCAGAATTTCGAGCTTTAGCTCATGGAGTTTGTGAAGGAATCTGGTTGAGAATACTTATTGAAGAGTTGAAGACCTTGTATTCCCTACCAATAAAATTATATTGTGACAGCAAGGCAGCTGTAGCATCGCTCAAAATCCTGTGCACCATGATCGAACAAAGTACATGGAAGTTGATCGCCACTTCATCAAAGAAAAATTAGATGATGGAAGTGTGCGTACGATGTATGTTCCTCCTACCAAAGAGCAGACTGCAAATACTCTCACTAAGGGTCTACACCGTCCAGCCTCTGAAGACTTGATTGGCAATTTGAGAATGATCAACATTTATCTCCCAACTAGACGGGGAGTGTAGGAAATTAGAATTAAAAATATTTTCATTTTTATTAAATAATGGATAGGACTAAATACTAATGCCTCATTACTGAGTCATCCTTATCAATTTGGCATTCTCTCTTGTATAAGTGTAAATCATTTGAATCAATTCAAAACAAACAATTCTTTTTCTATTTCAATAGTATCTATTGATTCTATGAGCCAATCTTTGATACAGATCATCTCATCAAACTAAAGAATTCATTTTTCTAAAACCAAGTTTTATCCAGATGCACACAAACATTAAAATAGCACTTCACCTTAAAAACTTTTTGCCAGATTGCTTCCTGCCCAGTAAATGCCAAGGGCAGGTTCACACCCTGAAGTGCCATCCAGTCAACCTCTTTTTCCCACCTTTCCCAGTCCCACCAAACATATGAATCTGCAAAGAACCAAGAAGAATGTGATATACACAAATGAAGCAACAGTTTGTGTCCCAAATATGTATGTAGCCTAATATTTAGCTTATGACCTTTGCTTGTAATGGCACCCCACCCCTCCCCTACCCTCGTGAGAAAATTCATGTCAACCTGAATGGGTCAGCAAAAGCAGACTTGGGAAGACCGACTTACCCAGATTGATAGTTTTACATTTAGCAATAGGAGGAATTCTAGGATATTTACTCGTATTAATCTTAAGGATAGATAGCAATACCTAAAAAATTAGCTTCGGTATAATTTTTGTAAATCTCTACAGGATCTATGCAGCTTTTTTCAGGGATAAAATAAGCATAGGATCTTCCTAACTGAAAATTTTATAGAATACCTATCTGACATTGAGAACATCGGCATTTTGTTTTTTGCAAGTAGGATTTTTCCCCTTCCTAATCAAGCCTTTGACTTATTTAGTTGAAAATTTCCGCTTTACAAATAGTAATTAATTCAACTTTCTTGTAATGATTGACTCCCAAGATTATCATCCTTTCTCAAAACAAAGTTTGAGCATTGGCACTTTTCAGATAGTGAAGTGAACTACATCAGTTCAAATTCTCCATCAGGGGTACAGTAAAGAAAATCGTGAGAGAAATGTTTTGTTCCATGGAAAGCTGATTTTGGTACTCACAACTAGAAGTCACAACATTTTGGTAATAGTTCCATGGAACTGGGCGTTTAATCTTCAGACCCTCAGCTTGCAAACGGGGTAGTGACCCTGGCTTAGGTATTGAAGCTGTCTGAATGCCACCTGTCTTGTCCCATGAGACATGAGCACCACACCAATACTTAAGATACCAATGGAGGCCAGATGCAATCTCAACAGCTGTGGTTCCTCCAATGCTGTAAAATTTAGCACAAAAAGCCATTAAGGCTTGCATGTAATTCTAGCACAAAAAGCCTAAACGTCTCTTAAATTTTGAAGAGTGTTAGAAATGGAAAGACATCAAAGATATGTGAGACTACAACATGTAGCATGGGACCAACAAAGAGGTAATAGTAAAATTCAACAAGGATAAATAAAAATCTCACTGATGCAATAGTCATGAATTTTTTCAGAAACCAACTTTAAGGGAGTAAGTCTGAATTATTGAGAGACTTGACCATTTCTTCCTTAGATTAATGTCCAATAAGGACTAAACTCGGCTTCAATATTCTCAAAAAACCTTCTCCTTTTCTTGGTACTAACTATTCTGTCTTAATACTGATCAAGGATCATATCCAATAACAGAACAGGTAACTAATGACGGTGGAAAACTGACCAACAGATCAAGAACCTTGCATAATTATACCACAACACAACGCTAGAATTTTCTTACCACGTGATATACAGTACAAAACACACTTGACCAATTTAAAATTTTCAAAATACATTGTCAAGAAGTTCATCAGCATTTTCTACTTGAAAATCAAGTTTAAATACATGAAAAGCAAAGAGAAGAAGAATAAAAAAAGTCATAAATAAAAGAAATCCAAGCATCTCATAATTTCAAAGAAAACCAAGAACTCATGACGAAGAAATATTAACCATAATCGACAGCATAAATTTCACATTACATACATAATCTCAGGCCCGCTCTGGCTTGAATAATTGTGATTGTTTATCAGAAAGCAACTGTCTCCATCACAGACATCCTGAAAATTGTAAAAATCTTATTTTTACATTCAATCATGAAAAATAAGAGAAGATGCAGACACCAACTACTTTGGAAGGATAACATAATAGTACAGTTAGGTGAAAGCACAAATCATAATTAATAAAAATAAATAAATAGTCATTGCTGCTTCCAACAAAATTAGCATGTAAAGTGACTATCATAATATCATCACATTGATTGATTGAATTATGGATTATACTATGCAACTTAGTGTACAAGTAATACAACTTTCAGGTAAAGAGAAAGAAAAAAAAGGAAAAAGAAAAAAACTCTTTTCCTTTCTTACTTTGTATCAGAATACTACGAAAACATTACTGATCAATCAGCACATGTAAATTAAACAGTTAAGACTTAGAAGCAATCATAAAGAAGTTAGTCTCACTTAAAAACAAGGGTATAAGCCTAAACCCCACATTAACAAACAAAATTACAAGAATGGTCACTTCTACATAAAATAAGTAAATATAAAGCTCCACACACTTTTTTTTTCTTTCTCTTTTTCACATTTAGACCAGCAGAATCAGAAGAAAAATTCCATCTTCAAAATCAGAGAAACGGAAAGATATCACTGGATTCCTTCATTTTCTGCATATCTATGAAACCAAAATTTAACAAAAACTAAGAAATAACTAACTCTTAACACACACATACACAAACACAAAGTCAAACATAAGATTCAACTCAAAAAGGAAAAACACCTTAGAAACTATACTGAACTCAAAACTGGACAAATGGGTAGGAAGCAGTCTTTTCAGAACACCACGAGCTGCTGCTTCTTGCACCGATGGAGATGCCCTTTTGGAATCCAAACGCCGAAGCAAATGTTCTATGGCTTCAAACTTAGACAGTGCCACGGGCACTAAAAGCATTAGAATCAAAATCAGAAACAGAAACTTGAACTTCAACATTCTTCTTCCAGAATGGAGCTAGTGATCAACACAACAGTGTGAAAAACAAAACATGATATCTATGCCTATCTATATCGAACTTTTTAATGGGTTATTCTATGGTTTTATATTTTTTTATTAAGCTAATGTCATTATAAAGCTAAATCTGCCTGTGTATGCTTGCATGCATGGTCTGTCCCAAGCCAGGATAAAGGAGGAGGGTTGGCGTCAGGTGTAGCGAATCGACCATAAAAAACAGCTATATTTATGAGATGAACCCTTATAATTTTTCGTTGGGGCGTACCTTTCATTGAGACGCGTTGCATCGGGTCCCGGGTGCAGCGAGAAATGGGCTAGGGCCCTTGCCACAAGGCAAGGCGCTGCATCGGGCCCCGGGTGTAGTGATAAATAAGCTAGGGTACTTGTCTCAAGGCAAGGCGCCAGGTCTCCACCCGGATTTGGTGAGAAGTATGTCAGGGTGCCAACACGCAGATGAGCGAGCGTGGCGGGCAAGTACAACCCAGGGGTTAAGGATGCGATTGGAAAGCTGGAATATAGGAATATTAACAGGTAAATTGAGGGAGTTAGCAGATTTTTTGCTAGAAGGAAAGTGAATATTGTTTGCTTGCAGAAAATTAAGTGGGTTGGAGAAAAGGTCAAGGAAGTGGATGGAACTGGTTTCAAGTTATGGTACACAGGTATAAACAAGAGTCAAAATGGTATTGAAATTATGATCGATAAAAGTTTCAGAGATAAAGTTGTTGACGTCAAAAGGAAAGGCGACAAGATTATTCTAGTTAAGTTGGTAGTGGGTGATATAATCTTGAATATCCTCAGTGTGTATGCACCCCAAGTTGGATTGCAACCAAATGATAAGAGCCAATTCTGGGAAGACTTGGAGGAGGTTTTAAGGGGGATACCACGAGAGGAGAAGAATTTCTTAGGAGGAGATCTAAATGATCATGTTGGTAAAAGCAATGGAGGTTTTGATAGAATTCATGGAGGTTTTGGCTATGGGACGAGAAACGAGACTGGAGAAGATATCTTGAATGTTGCACTAGCTTATGATTTGATGCTAGCGAACACTTTTTTTCGAAGAAGGGAGTCACATCTAATCACATATCACAGTGGCTATAATCGAAGTCAGATTGATTTATTTTTGGCTAGAAGAGAAGATAGAACTTCCTGTGTCGACTGTAAGGTTTACCCTGGAGAGTGTGTCGCTATGCAACATAAGCTACTAGTCCTGAAGGTTCGGTTCAACAAAGTACTTACAATGAGGAAGAGGACCCAGAACCCAAGAATAAGGTGGTGGAAGCTTAAGGAGGAAAAAAAGAGAGAGTTCAATGAAAGAATGTTGCATGAAGGACCTTGGGAGTTTGATGGAGGAGCAAATGCAATATGAAATGAGATGGCTATATGTATTCAGAATATGGGAAGGAGAGTGTTGGGAGAAAGCAAAAGAAATGAATTTCATACAAAGGAAACGTGGTGGTGGAATGGAGAGGTGCAAGAGGCAATTAAACAAAAGAAGGAATGCTTTAGATCTTTGCATAAAAGACCCAATGAAGAGAACTTGCAAAAATTTAGATTGGCGAGAAAAATGCAAAGAAAGCAGTGCGGGAAGCTAGAGGCAAGGTTTTCGCTGATTTGTATAAAAATCTTGGGAGCAAGGATGGTGAAAAAGGTATATATAAACTTGCAAAAATAAGGGATAAGAAAAGTAAAGACCTCACCCAAGTTAGATGCATCAAGGATGAAAATCAAAAACTTTTGGTGAGAGATAAAGATGTAAATGAAAGATGGATGAACTACTTTAACAAACTGTTTAATGGGGATGGCGATAAAAGCGAGGTGGACTTGGAGGATGCTTATGATGATTTGATTAGAAGATTTGTGCACAGAATTAATACACATAAAGTTAAGGAGGCTTTAAAGAGGATGAAGACTAATAAAGCCTTGGGACCTGATAGTGTCCCTATTGAAGTGTGGAAAAGCCCGGGGTATGTGGCAATAAAATGGTTGACCAACCTTTTCAATAAGATTCTTTAGACAAATAAGATGCCTGATGCATGGAGGAAAAGTATGATTGTGCCGATTTATAAAAATAAGGGAGATATACAGAATTGTTCTAACTATAGAGGCATTAAGCTAATGAGCCATACTATGAAGTTGTGGGAGAGAGTTATTGAACATCGCTTGAGAAGAGACACCAAGGTTTCTGTAAATCAATTTGGATTTATGCCAGGAAGATGTACCATGGAAGCCATTTTCTTGATGCGACAATTAATGGAAAGATATCGAGAAAAGAAGAAGGACTTACATATGGTGTTCATTGATCTTGAGAAAGCATATGATAAGGTTCCAAGGAATGTCTTATGGTAGGTTCTTGAGATGAAAAAAGTACCATCAAAGTATGTAAAGGCAATCAAGGATATGTATGATGGGGCTACTACTTGTGTGAAAGCTTGTAATGGAACATAAAGTTATTTTCCTATCACGGTAGATGTACACCAAGGTTCGGCTCTAAGTCCTTATCTCTTTGCCTTAGTTATGGATGAACTAACAAAAAATATTCAAGAGGAAGTGCCCTGGTGTATGCTTTTTGCAGATGATATTGTGTTTATTGATGAGAACAAAGATGATGTTAATAGAAAACTTGAATTGTGGAGAAGCACATTAGAATCTAAAGGATTCACGTTAAGTCGGATCAAGACTGAGTATTTGAAGTGTGAGTTTTCTCTGACAAGAGATGAAGACCAAGATCTCGTGCACCTACTGGGCCAAGATGTACCCAAGAAAGAGGCTTTTAGGTACCTGTGATCCATTTTGCAAAAAGGTGGAGAGATTGATGAGGATGTAAATCATAAAATCAGAGCAGGGTGGACGAAATGGCGTAGTGCATCTGGGTTTTTGTGTGACCGCAAAATTTCCCTGAAGTTAAAAGAAAAATTCTATAGAACAGCACATAGGCAACATGAGCATAAAATGTGAGTAGCAAAGTTGAGGATGTTAAGGTGGATTTATGGTTATACGAGAATGGATAAGATGAGAAATGAAGATATGCAACGAAAGGTAGGAGTACTACCGGTGGCTGCAAAGATGAGAGAACATATATTGAGGTAGTTTGGGCACGTAATGAGAACATAGATGCTTCCGTAAGAACAAAAGTTTGTCACCAAGAGCTCAACACAAAGAAATGTAGAAGTATACCGAAACTTACTTGGGGGAAGGTAGTAAAGCAAGACTTAATGGATTGGGTTATAGATTGGCAGACGCTGTGCCTTAGAATGAAATGGAGAAAATCTATATGCATGGTGGAGGGTTAGACCCGTTCCTATGATCCAGATGGTCCCTTTTTTAGTCCTTTTTCCTCTTTATTTCCCCCTCTCTTCTTTTCCCCTTCTTTTATCACTTATATATATATATATATATATATATATATATATATATATATATATTATTACTATTTTATTTATTTATTTTTTTATTTTTATTTTTATCTTTTTTCAACACTTTCGTATCTTTTATTTGGGTTCATCTACCACCGACCCCAATTAATTTGGGATAAATATGTTGTTGATGTTAATGAATGTCATTATTAAGCTATATTGGACATATAAGTAAACAAAGATAATATAAATAAAAAAAATTAGTTGAGGGAAAATGACGTTGATTATAAAGTATCAAATTGTTGAATTTAGTCTTTTAAAAGATATAATTTTGTATCATTTTAAATCTTAACTATTAATTTTCATCAATCAAACAGTTATAATTTATTGAGTTAAATTTATTAATTAATTAATAATTTATAATAAATTATAATCATTAATTGACAAAAATCAACTATTAGTATCTAAAAGGACATAAAATTATATTCTTTAAAGGAATAAATATTTTTCCCTAAAATAATTCTCTCTATTAGTCTTACTTTTGATCTTAATTAATTATTTCTTTAAATGTTAGAAAGAATGAAATTCTAAACGAGATATCTAGTACAAATTTAATTTCATTATTCACTCCATTAGTCAAATATCATGTCTAACATTTGATAAAAACAATTATTGTTATTATCACCAAGTATATGGATGAATGTGATGTGTTGGCTTAAAGGATATAGTTGAATATCAAGTCACCTCACCAAAAAAAAGAAAAAAAAAAGAATATCAAGTCAAAAAGGGCAACTTTTCTATTTGATTTATGAAAACTGCAATGGCAGAATAAATAACATTCGCTACCAAAGGAATCATTTTCTAAGGAAAGGCTAAGATATGGACAAGAGTTGGTAAAATGGCTTACCTGATCCATCCCATCTTGTCTCCCACTCATGAAAAATGTGGTAGAGCAAATTAAGCGCCTATTGGTGAATGGATTGAAATTATTAAGGATGCTTTTGAAAAAAAAAAAATTGAGCGGGTCTTCAATAAAAATTATAGGGCATAGTTTAATCTCTTATTAAAAAAAAATTGACTTTTGATATCTTTAAAATTTAAAATAGATTCAGTTAGTCGAAATTGTAGTTTATCTGAAATTTAAAATAGACTCATGTTAGCTTTTAAAGGACTAACATGGATCTATTTTTGAATTTCAGATAGACCACGAATCGACTTTTTTTTTTCTAAAGATTAAATTGGATCCGTAATATTTGTTGAAGAGTCAAAAATACTTTACTCAGAAGATTTTTTTGCATTACTTTTTTAAAAAGATAAAATTATTAAAAAAGACATGTAAATGTTCTTTTTTAACATAATGTTTGGATAAAAAGCATTTATAATTTTAATATATCACGTTCAAATTGCTATTACATTATTGAATTAGAGAAAAAATTTACAAATTTTTATTTAATTATTATATACAAATATAATGACTAATATTTGTTTAAAGTAACTAGAAAGTATTGCCCTTTGTTTCATTCCATAAAAAAAAAAAACATATAAAATGTTAAGAATGAAATTACGATTCGCAGATGTCATTATATGAGCATTATGATTCCCTCTCCGTTTATTAAATATATCAAATCAGTAAATTATGTGTTCCCAAAGTCTCATAAACTAATCAAATTCTAGTTATCGGTAAATTAGTAAACTTGGGCCACTTCTATGCTCATGCTCAGTAAATTTTACTTGAGTTTCACGGTACATGACTTGCATACCAACGATTTTAATGAAAGTTTTGGAGACTGTGCATGGGATTTGCCTTTGTGGAACTACTTTTATTTCAGCAATAATAATAATAATAATAATAATAATAAGTTGTCATGTGACTTGGAATGAAAAGTAGTATTAACTCAAAACCATTATAAAATATAAGATTTGTTGTTTGTCATTTTAAATGATATAAGTTATGTCATTTTAAATGATATAAGTTATGTCATTTTAGGAAAGAGATAGACACAGAAAATAAAAATCATGGGAGAAAAAAAGTGGGTGGTTTTTTTTAATTTAAAATTTAAATAATTTTTTTTCTGTGTCTGTCTCTCTCTTAAAAGGACAGAGTGTTATGTCATTTAAAATGACAAATACTTTTCCCTAGAGTATATTGCAATCATGAAAGTATTCCAAAAGCTAACTACGCACTCGTGCCGATAATTCATTCCTAATGTTATCTCTTATTTCTTCCATTAATGTAATTGATTATGCACATCTTCTCCTATATTATTATCATTGCCCTTGAACTCGTTGACATTCTCAAATACTTTAAGCATATCTATGTCACAGGAATCCTTTCATCGTATATAATTGTGAGTGTCTCTTAAAAAAAGAGCATGACACTAGTTTGAGATTTAAACCTTTTACAGCAAGATTTCTACATGAAAATTGTAGTATGTGAGCTTGTGATCATATATAAGTGAGTGGTTCTTCAAGAGAAGCTTGTTTGGGTGTGTTTGTGTCTTCTTAAAGTTGTGAGGGTGTAGCTGAACTTGTGAAGAAATTTGGTGGTTCAAGGGTTTTAAGTCTGAAGAACAAGTCTAAGCTATCCTAGAAGTTGTCAAGGTAATACATTGGAACTTTGATGGCTGAAAATGAAGTTATAATCTTGATTTTATTTTATTAAGGGGCTAAAAAATATGAAGTGAAATCATGTGGTTTTGTCGGAACAAAGATTGGTTGTTGGTTGATTTAAATGAAAACTAAGAAAGCTAACCTAATAAAAATGCATGTGGATTGGTTTAAAGACCACTTAGGATTTTGGCCTACATATGATTAATATGGTGTAACATGTGTTTGATGTTATGCTTATATGAAATCATGATCATTGGTGGGTATTTAAAAGATTAAAGTCATTGGATTTGAGTTTAATTAAAAGGAAAAGTGACAAACCGTAATAGAGACAATCTGGTCTCTGTTTTGAAAATTTTATAATTGGAGTTGAAGAATTTCAAATTAAGTGTGATTTGTACCAAATTAATGATATGTAAGTCTATTAAAACATAAAAAATTCAGAGTAATCTAACCAGAATTGGAATTTTCATGAATAAAAGAGTGAAAGTTGTTCAGGCCGTAAAGAAATTCTGTTTATCTTTAGCCCAAATTGAAAATGGCATGTCTCACTCATTTCTTAATGAAATGAATTGTGTGAGGTATCAAATTAAAGGCTAAGGTGTCTAGTTTCTTTTCTCAATAACTGAGATTTTTATGAGGGCTGGATCATGCCCTAAATTAGAAAAGGTGGACACTGTCTGAAACTGTCCTGTGTTGACAACATGTTACATGGAGTTTGGAAAATTTATAACTCCTTAGTTTCTTAACGAAACAGGAAGAATCTTATGTCAAATTAAAGGCACATTTTTCAGTGCAACTGTACCGCTGTATTTTTACCTGGTAAAAATATTATTCATCAAATTTTCAAAAACTTGCCTAACCACTGAGTTTTTTGTTCTGAATCCATTCACAGGGTTATTTTTCCCATTTGAGACCTTCTACTAACATTTTACTGTTTAGGGTTACGTGTTTGTTAAATTACCGTTTTACTCTTTTTACGTATTTTGAGTCAGATTTCAAAATTATGCTACCCTCTAATCCTTTTTTTTTTTTTTTTGTAAATTCTAATCCTTATTTTAAGTATAATTATATGTTTTAAATCTACGAGATGTCATAGCCGCACTTGTACTATGGACAAGTGTAAGGCTAAATATATTACATTAAAGTAAAACCAAAGACTAAAGTTTAACTAAAGGAAATATATCTTATGCATTTATTAAATCTAATAAAGTTTCTAAACTTAGGAACTAGCTAGAAATATTTGAGTCGTTATCCTCACTGCCCACAGCTAGCCCCATCATTTGCAACCTGTTTCACTGAAAATCTGCTCCCTCGAAGGATCATTGCAGCCAGACCTTGTTGCCATGGTAGACCCGGGAAACCTTGTTGCCAATCTACCCGTGACCCGGGAAACCCTGTCGCCAGCCACGTATAATCAAAATTTGCTATATCAAAATATCAAATCTTAGTGTGCACATTTTTTCCCAAAGTTGCTACTAGTACCCCTGGAAACCCTGTTGTCAGATACCACTTTGGGAAGAACGAAAAATATCATTGTCATATCATGTAATATCGAAGGCATAAAGCCAAAGTCCAATAATTAATCCAATTAATTCTAGAGGTTAAAATAATTTAATTAAATGCCCTAAGGGTTACATATAATATATGAAAACATCCTAAATTTCTCCAAGGATTAAGATTATATTTAACAAATTTAATATAAAATTATCCTACGATCACCTAGAGGATTACGTATATCAAATTTCATCTAAAACTAATTTGAGATGACCTAAGGATCAGGATTACCTAGTCTCCGTGTTTGATGACTTTTAGGAGGAAAAG